AAACATGGAGTATCTTTTCATTTCTTAAGATTTTTAAAATTTCTTTTACCAGAGTTCTGTAGTTTTCCCAATCTGTACACCTTTTATTTCCTTTTATTGTCTCATTGCCGTAGCTAGTACTTTAAGTATAATGTTGAATAGGAGTGCTGAAACAGGGACATTCTTGCCTCATTCCTGATCTTAAGGGGAAAGCATGCAGTTTCTCACCATTAAGCATGATGCTAGCTATAAAATTTTTTTGTGGACGTTCTTTATCAGGTAAAGAAAGTTATCCCATGTTTCTGGTTTGCTGAGAGTTTTGATCATGAGTGATGTAGGATGTTGGCGGGAAAAACAGCAAATATTATTGGCAGGAAAAATAGCAAATGTTTTTCCTGCATTTATTGATATGATCAGATGATTTTTCTTATTTAGGCTGTTGATGTGATGGACTACATTAACTGATTTTTTCCCTAGTTTTCTTTATTTTTTTATTTCATTTTAAGTTTCAGGGTACATGTGAAGGATGTGTAGGTTTGTTATATAGGTAAATGTGTGCCATGGTGATTTACTGTGCTTAGCAACCCATCACCTAGGTATTAAGCGCAGCACGCATTAGCTATTTTTCCTAATGTTCTCTCTCCCTCCCCACCTCAACAAGCCCCAGTGTGTATTGTTTACCCCCATGTGCCCATGTGTTCTCATTGTTCAATTCCCACTTATAAATGAGAACATGCGGTATTAGGTTTTCTGTTCCTGCATTAATTTACTGCGGATAACAGCTTCCAGCTCCATTCATGTTCCTGGAAAGGACATGATCTTGTTCATTTTTGTGGCTGCATGGTATTCCAAGATGTGTATGTACCACATTTTCTTTATGCAGTCTGCCACTGATGGCCATTTGGGTTGATTCCATGTCCTTGCTCTTGTGAATAGTGCTGCAGTGAACATACACGTGCGTGTATCTTTATAATAGAATGATTTATATTCCTTTGGGTGTATACCAAGTAATAGGATTGCTGGGTCAAATAGTATTTCTGCCTCTAGGTCTTTGAGGAATCACCACACTGTCGTCCACAATGGTTGAACTAATTTACATTCCCACCAACAGTGTAAATGCCTTCCCATTTCTCCACAGCCTCACCAGAAACTGTTGTTTCTTGACTTTTTAATAATTGCCATTCTGACTAGTGTGAGATGATATCTCATTGTGGTTTTGATTTGCATTTCTCTAATGATCAGTTATCTTGAGCTTTTTTTTTTTTTCATACATGTATTGGCTGCATGAAAGTTTGCAAAGGACATGAACAGAAACTTCATGTGATATGACCAATTTTACCACAGATCCTGGCATGTACCTTGCAGTTACTTCATAAATACTACTTTTCTTTCTTCTGTTAAGGTACCTAAGCTTGAAAACAAGGACCATTTTTATTCTAACCCATTGTGAGGCATTTATACCAGGAACATAAAAAGTTCTTAAGTATTTGCCATTCTTACAGTGCTGAAAAAACTGCCTTGGAAAAAAATAACCTGCTTCTATAAGGACTGCCTTACCCTAAAGGGCTTGAAAGAGATTCCATGGTTCATTTATTCCTCTCTTCTTCCAAACACAAGTATACTCTCCTTTTTTTAAATACCCAGCTTACTACTGAAAAGGCCCATAAAAACTCATTTCTTCCTGTCTGGGTCTGAATACAAGAACATCAGTATCAAATACTAAGGACAGTCATTTTGCTCCGGTGATAGGCTGTATGTCCTGGGGGGTAGTAGAAGTTATTGAACCATTTAAAGAGAGGTAATAGCCTGATTGTACACTTCACCATCAAACTACATCTGGAGAATTGTATCCCTTTTTGAACACCATAACTTAAGGAGGACATTGACAACATTAGAACATGTCCAAAGGGTGATGACCAGAATGATAATGGGGCATCTAGATGTCTAGAAACCTTGCTATATTAGGACATGTATTAACCCAAATTTATTAAATCTATTTGCCTGCACCACTTATTTTTCTTTATGTTGTAAAAAGTTAGAATATTTTCTATTCAATGCCAAAATGTTCATGATAGCTTTGATTTTACATTGTTTGTTCAAAGTTTTCCTGGATATAACCCTTGATTTCTTCTCAGGAAAGAGGCAGAGGAAAACCTCCCCTAGTTGAAGTGTACATTATTATCTGACCAAAAAAAAAATCAATGAGCTGAACTTTGCAGTAATTCTAGCCCTTGATTTCATTTCATGAAACCTCAAGTTGCCAAGAAAAGCTGAGCATCACTTTTCACCTAGTGTTGGTTTCTGTAAGTCTCCCAGGAGCCTTTAGTTGACCAGTTATGGTTTGGTTTGTTGTTCTGTGATACAGAAGTAAGTGGGTTGGGGAAAGCCCAGAGATGTGCTAAGTGGATTCTGAGCTGTGGAAGTCGGAGCAGGGAGCACATATGAGCTTGAGGTTCAAAGTAAACCCCTAGACCTTTTCCCCTGCAACATGCATTGTGATTGTTCTTTCTGCAGAAGAGTTCATGATCTTTTATAATTTTCTTTTTCTATAGATTTAAGAGTGCTAGTAGCAGAAACTTTTAAAAAATGTTATGACGGTACAGTCAATGGAATCTTGCTGTTGTACATCTTGCACTTTAGAGAATGAATGCACTGTACTTGAGATAGAGCTTTCCTTGTATAAAATTCATTTTAGGGATGCTTGGATGATTGAGATCTACAGGAGTGGCATATCCACAGCTGTCTTTTCCCTCCTCTTCATTCTGCACAAAGGCAAAGGTGAAAGGTGTGCCTCTGCTTTGTTGGTCTTTGGGTTGCAATTCCTTCTAGTATGTTTCCATTTGAAGATGGGAAACCAATGGGAAAATAATGAGTTTAAAATAGAACTTTACTTTCTGCAAAGGTTTTTGAGAATATGTGTATTGGCTGTAGGTCGAGGGCAGCAAGAGTGTAACTGTTACGGAAGACACTAGTTTGTGTTGATTGCTTCTACTTTCCTGTGTGACCACGGGAAAATGCTTTAACTCTACTGAGCCTCAATTTTGTTATCTATAAAATGGGAGTTGTAATACCAAACTTAAAAGATTGTTGTAAAAAGTAGATGCCATAATATACTTGAGAATGTTTTGTAAACTCTAAACCATATAGCTTGTGAATACTTCTAAGACAAGGATGGTCTATCATTTATCTCCATCTACCCAGCACTTACGTGCCTCTAGCACCTGCCACAGAGCCTGATATATAACAAGTGATTGCCGGCTGAAATTAAAATGAATGAATAGTTTCAAATCTCCAAATTTCTGATGATTTTAATGAATTTGTTGACTGGTCCTCTGTATTGGGTTAATCTCTTGGCCTCATCCAGCTTTTAGAAAACAAGGATTGAGACTAAAGGAGCATGTGGAGTTTGGAGAGTTGTTATAAGATAGACCAACTTTCTAGGAATTGCTTAATGTTCTAAACAAACAAAAAACCAAATGAACATTCAACAACTTATGGAAAGGCAGATTTTTTCCCCCAGGGACGCACAGCTGCAAAGTAGAAGTAATCAATGCAAGCTAGTGTCCCTCAGAGACTGTTACACTCTCACTGCCCTCAGACCTGCAGCCAACACACATATACTCAAAACCTTTGTAGGAAGTTAAGTTCTGTTTTAAACTTATTATTTTCTCAAGTGAGCTTGGAAGCCCAATCGAATTGTCCTGGCAATTGTTCAACATTGCTGGCCATGTCATAAGCCCAAGGGAAGAATCTAGGGAGCATGTTCTACCCTGGGAGGGATCTGGGGCAGATGGTGGTAGCACAACCTAGAGCTCACTTCTGCCACAGATGACTGAAATGTTGGACTAAGTGATCCCAAGGAACTGTTAGAGTATGGTCTCTCTAGTAGTCTAGAAGTGGTAATAATTTGATTTTTCAAGGCTCATGAACTGGCATCATTTGGAGTACATCTGTCATGGACCTTTGCACTTTGAAAGGAAATGGAAGGAAGGACTAAGTTAATTTTAAGTGTCTCAGGAAACTTGGCTGTTTTTGTTTTTAAACTGTCTTACTTCTTCAAAAGCCTATTGTGGTTGTTTTTCCTTCCCTCATATAAATGTAGAACTCTGATTATATGAAATAATTTGGGTCTGGGATGTTTCAGTTTGGAGAAAATGAGATGGTGACATTACTACTTTCTTTTTCAAACCAATGACACTGATTAGGTTTTATGCAAAGGGATTGGGGCAGCAGATGTAACCATGAATTTGTGGTCTCTGTAGAGCAGATAAGGCTTCCAAGCCACGTGAAAGCTGAACTTAGCAAGGAAGCTTAGTAGTTATCCCTCCGGATGTTCAGCTTGCAAATACCAGAGGTGTTGTTTTCAATACCAAATGATAGATAAGTACATGGATTGTTTTTCCACCCAGATACAAATGCATTGGATAAATTCCATTTCCAGGTCTGGCAATCTGTCAGAAAGCTCTCTTTAAAGTTATCAGGAGAAAATCTACCAAAATGATTAAATTTGTGATAGCTTTTATTCTTGGCTAGGAACTTGCCTCCCCTCCAGGGCTAAACAGGCTTAAATTGTTGTGTGAGTTTATACAATATATGGTTTGTTGTCAAATATTTATCTCTGTCTAAAAATGAAATGTCCTGAAATACAATTTCTTTTTAACTGAATAAATCAATGTGAGAAAGAGAAATAACTTCTCATTTAGCCAATTTTTAATCAATGTTTTCATGAAAGGCCGAAATGTTAACCGAATCCTGGCTTTCGTCATTTGAAATATAATTTGTGTGTTAAGAATTTATGTGCACATCAGAATCTGGACTTCATGTTCAGAAAGGAAAATTGATTTATAGGAGCAAACAACTGCAAGAGTAGAGGCAATGCCAGAAGTGAATGAGAGTCAATTATTTAACGCAAATGGGACCTTAATCACCACAGCAATAGAGAACTCTCAAATTCATTTACACCCTGGATTTTCATGCTTTAATTTGTACACATTTTTGTGTCTCTCTTTTTTTTTTTACAGAGGCCTTCGAAATTGTTGTTCGCCATGCCAAGAACTACACCAATGCCATGTTCAAGAACAACTACCCAAGCCTGACTCCACAAGCTTTTGAGTTTGTGGGTGAATTTTTCACAGATGTGTCTCTCTATATCTTGGGTTCTGACATCAATGTGGATGACATGGTCAATGAATTGTTTGATAGCCTGTTTCCAGTCATCTATACCCAACTAATGAACCCAGGTCTGCCTGATTCAGCCTTGGACATCAATGAGTGCCTCCGAGGAGCAAGACGTGACCTGAAAGTATTTGGGAACTTCCCCAAGCTTATTATGACCCAGGTTTCTAAGTCACTGCAAGTCACTAGGATCTTCCTTCAGGCTCTGAATCTTGGAATTGAAGTGATCAACACAACCGATCACCTGAAGTTCAGTAAGGACTGTGGCCGAATGCTCACCAGAATGTGGTACTGCTCTTACTGCCAGGGACTGATGATGGTTAAACCTTGTGGTGGTTACTGCAATGTGGTCATGCAAGGCTGTATGGCAGGTGTGGTGGAGATTGACAAGTACTGGAGAGAATACATTCTGTCTCTTGAAGAGCTTGTGAATGGCATGTACAGAATCTATGACATGGAAAACGTACTGCTTGGTCTCTTTTCAACAATCCACGATTCTATCCAGTATGTCCAGAAGAATGCAGGAAAGCTGACCACCACTGTGAGTACCAGTCTACAGTTTTCAGAGGATTTGGGCCTTATTGGGGTGAGGTGGCCAGTAGCAGGTGCTGATAGAGATAAATGATAACAAAATTTGAAGCGGGGGAAGGGATGATGATAGACTGAATGACCTCACAGAGTTAGGCAGCATATTAAGACCACAGGCTATTATGGTCCACCCACTTCCTTACTGTGTGACGTTGGGAAGTCATTTTATCTTTATGGGTTCATTTTTCTGATTCATGAAATGGAAATAAAAAGAATATCTTCTTCATAGGGAATGGCGTTTGTTAAAGCACTTAGCACGTGTCTGGTACGTGGTAAGTCTTCAATAAATGTTGGCTATTATTAGCATTATTGTCAGTTATCATAATCCTCATTTTTGATACACAATAGATGACAAGCCTGTGAAGTGGGAGCTATTATCTTCATTTTATAAATGAAGAAACTGAAGCTTAATGAAATTGCAGCTTCCCTAAGAGCACCCGCCTAAAGTTAGTGGAAGAGCCATGCTTCAGAAATTGACCAGATCTCCCTTTAATTTGGTTATCACCAATTTTTCTGATTCTAATTTCTTCTTGGTGTTTTCAGTCATGTATATCACATTAGCATTTTGAGTAGTAACTTCAAACACAGAAGACCCAGCTAGAGTTCACTAACTAAACCTCACAAGCACATAAGCAAGGCAAACAATCCATGTTCTCCAGTGGTTTTGTTTATAGCCTTGATTCTATCAGTCTAAGCCTGATGAAATTCGTGATGGAGGAAGGGAAGTTCTGTGAGTGAGGCAGCAGTTTGCTTGGTTTCAGTCAGATATTGTTAGTAACGGAACCACAGGAGACACCAACTTCCAATATATAGCAGAACATGTAGCCAAGAGCTACCAGTCAGTTCCCCTAAAGTAGTATCTGATTCCTGAATGCTGCCAGCTTTGTAGAATGAGGTGGCAGAATAGTATATTACACTACCATTGTTGAGCTTCCACTACATCTCAAGTGCTATGCTGGCTAGTTTACATAATATCATTTCATAGTAACCCATGAAATCAGTCCTAATAAACCTAAAAGCTGGGTTTTGCTTTGTTTTTCTGTTTTAGAAATATTCTATTTCTCCTTTCTGCTAATTATTTTTCATTGATATACAATAGATGTACATATTTTCAGGGGACATGTGATAGTTTAATACATTCATATAATTTGTAAAGGTCAAATCAATATGATTGGGATATCCATCACCTAAATATTTGTCTTTATGCTAGAAACATTCAAATTCTTCTTTTCTAGCTACTTTGAAATATATGTGGCCAGGTACTGTGGCTTATGCCTGTAATCCCAACACTTTGGAAGGCCGAGGTGAGAGGATTGTTTGAGGCTGGGAGTTCAAGACCAGTCTGGGCAACATAGAGACCCCATCTCTACCAAAAAAAAAAAAAAAAATTACAAAAAACTAGCTGGGCATGGTGGCATGCTACTGGGGAGACTGGAGTGGGAGGGTGACGGGCTCAGGAGGTCAACTCTGCAGTGAGCCATGATCACGCCACTGCACCTCAGCCTGAGCGAAAGAATGAGAAATGAGACCCGTTCTCAAAAAAAAAAAAAAAAAAAAAAGAGGAAGAAATATATGATACATTACTATACACTGTAGATACCCTACTGATCTATCAAACACTGAGTCTTATTTCTTCCTCAAAGCTAGTTAAGTCAGAGGAGCTGGGATTCAAACCCAGACCTTGTTGGCTTGGTTGATCCACACCCTTAGCATCTATACAGTGCAACTGCTATGCACTCTGAACCATTGCTTATCCAAAATGTGGAGGATGGATTAGGCTATTTCAGCTTGTCTTTAAACTCTAGGGGTAATTAGTTTCTTTGGTGAATTAAACTAGGAAAGAGGACAAAAATGATGCAACCCTCGGCCTGGTTACTTATGGAGTTGCTGTAATTGCCCCATTCACAATGTTAGTCATTTAAAACACATTTCCTGTGAAAATATTTTATAGTAAAATGAACAAAAATGTCCTATCTAATTACAGTGTTCTTCAGTGGCTAATTATTCCCTTGACTGCTTCACAATTTGAGGCCAGTTTCTGGGGGCTTCTGCAAAAGTAAATTTTACCAAACTAGAGAAAGTAAATGCATTCATATGTTCATTCACCTAATACTAATTCAGGGCCTACCATGTGTAAGACACAAAGAAAGCATGCCAGGGGCGTGGAAATGCTTTCAGTAAGAGGAAAATAAAGAGACAACATTAAAGACAGGGTGTAGGAGTGTTTAAAGGTTGCCTCTGATATTGGTCACTTCACAGCAACACAATTGATCTTGAAAACAAGTATCCTCCTTTGGTGCATTTATTTATTTATTTATTTATTTATTTATTTATTTATTTCTGAGACAGAGTCTCGCTCTGTTGCTCAGGCTGGAGTGCAGTGGCATAATCTCTGCTCACTACAACCTCCGCCTCCTAGTTCTAAGTGATTCTCTTGCCTCAGCCTCCCAAGAAGCTGGAATTACAGGCACACGCCACCATGCCTGGCTAATTCTGTACTTTTAGTAGAGACGAGATTTCACCACATTGGTCAGGCTAGTCTCGAACTCCTGACCTCAGGTGATCCACTCACCTAGACCGCCCAAAGTGCTGGGATTACAGGCGTGAGCCGCCGTACCCGGCCATGTGGTGCTTTTAAACACATAAAAAATGAAGTGAGGAGCTTATAAAGAATTAAGTGCACTGTTTTGATCAGGCACTAGACATGAAGGTTCATTTAGGAAACATTTATTAAACATCTGCTTTGCGTATGGCACTTTGCTAGGTGCTGGATATTCAAAACTACCCAAGACATAGTTCTTAAGTCTTGAAAAGGTCACAGTCTAGTTGGTAGACAGACGTGTAACTGAATACATTTCACCATAGTGAACATTTCACCATAATGTGAATGTTGAAAGGACTGTGAGAGATTAGCTAGTCCAATCCCATTGATTTACAAAGGAAGAAATAAAGTTCAGGGAGGCTTACCCAAAGTTATATAATTAATGGAGGAGCCAGAAGTAGAATCCAAGGTCTTCTGCTGCTACAATCTAGTACTTTTTCCATCATACCAGTCTGTCCCCCCTTAGGCCCCCCCTAGACTTTTACTCTAAGAGCTCCATTAGGATTTTGCAAACACATAGTGAACCTAAATTGGATAGCTATTTCTGGCTGCCAAACCTGCTACATTTTAGGTGCATGCACATGAGTGCAGGGGGAGTGCATTTCATGTCATTATCATTCAGGAAGAAAGGCTTTGGCTGTCAAGAGGTGCTCAGTGATGCAGGCCCTTTCTGTTTTGGCCATTAAGGGCCTGATTGCTCCCAGCTCCCAGCTGGTTATGAGAGTGTGAATTCTGCCATCCCCAGGGAATGCCTGAACTAAACCAGAAAACATATGTAAACTCTGCCTTGTTCGTGTTTTATGATCACCAACTCTAAGTAATATGTACCAAATGGTGGGGGTAGGGGAATCACTGGCCAGGTGTGATCCAGTCCATACTCAGTACGGGTCAAAAAGGGACTGGGCATTTATGAGGGCGAAGGGAAGTCGGAGCTGCAGAACTCTATTCACATTAACAAACCCACAGAATGCCCCAAAGCAAAAGCTGGTTTAAAACTAAAGCTTTAATGAGATTCTCCAGTAGCACCCTCACCTTCCTGTTGCGATAAAATGTAAAAACCTGCCATTCAGTCCTGCTTGAGGTTCAGTTGTGGTGAGAGACTTCTTTAAAAATATCCTCTTCCTGAGCTCTGCTGGGATATCCTTTCGAGATGGTTTTAAGCCATGACGTGAGGTCTGCCACACAGAGACTTTGCCTAGTTGTTTTTGTGGCTGTCATCTACCCAGATTATGAAGATTGCTTCGGTCTTCTAAGTGAGTGTGGTACTGTTCGGTTTTTTAAGTGTGGCTGGTTGGTGCTTTAGTTTTCTCTAGCATAGTTCTCAATACTTCAGACTACCAAGTGAAGGCAGGCAGACAAATACTGGGGTATTGTCTCTGGCAGCACCACTGGAGGTGGTAAAGGATCCTGTTCTCAAACTCGGCTCATCATCACAATCACCTGGGTTACTTGTTAGACACATTCCTGGAGTCCACCCCTGCAGAGATTCTGATACCAAAGGTGTGTGAAGAGGTCAGATGATTTTCTTTCGTTTTGTTCTGTTTTGTTTTTTGAGACAGGGTTTCACTCTGTCACCCAGGCTGGAGTGCAGTGGCTCGATCTTGGCTCACTGCAACCTCCGTCTCCCGGGCCCAGGGGATTCTCATGCCTTGGCCTCCTGAGTAGCTAGGATTACAGGCGCGTGCCAAGACACCTGGCTAATTTTTTGTATTTTTAGTAGAGATGGGGTTTCGCTATGTTGGCCAGGCTGGTCTCGAACTCCTGGTCTCAAGCAATCCACCTCCCTCAACCTCCCAAAGTGCTAGGATTACAGGCTTGAGCCACCATGCCCAAATGATTTTTCATTTAAGAAATGTCCCAGTTGATTCTGATGCTCCCTTGGGAGCATATCCAGCCACCTCATTTGGAAGATAAAGAAAATAAGCCCCAGAGGTTGGAAGTGAATGGCCTATGTTCCACAGGCAATTAGTGGCAAAGCTAGGACCTTTAATTCTTCATCTATAAAATGGAGTTGAGATATGGCAATTAAATGCAATGTTAGGTTCAGGAACATGGCAAATACTCACTAAGTCCCAGTCCAGTACTCTTTCTTACTACAGTGATCTAAGTGCCAAACGAAAAATGAGTTTTTCTTAAACTTATTTTTAGGTGCCAAGATCTCTTAATGTTATTTTAGTCTAAATGAAGTAAATAAAAATAGTAAGTGTGTGAGAATGTGTGTGTAAATACATGTGTGGCGGGGGGAGGGGAGAGAGGGAGGGAGGGAGGGGGAAAGAGAAGATTTGTGCTGATAATCCAAGAAAGTATTAATGATGAGACTATAAATAGATCCGTTTTGCAAACTGAGGTAA